ATTATTATTATTATTATTATTATTATTATTATTATTATTATTATTACTTTAGTATCCCTACTTCAGGACCTGTAGAAAAACAATTTTGTTTTCTGTTGATCTCATCAACTTCTCTCCAAAAATGTCTATGGGTGATTTTTTGGTGTCTACCATTTGAGTGAATTCAGCTCCAACAAGTATAAATTGTTTCTATGAACCTGGAGGGACTTGAAAACAAAATCTTTCACAAATTTTGAAGGCTGGTCCCTAGGTTTCTTTAAGCAGTGATAACTATGTCTTTACTTTAAGAAGCACTGCCAAGTAAAGCAGCCTAAATTTGAACGCAGGTGGAGTCTAATTAGCTTATTTTGTGATTTGAAAAGTAGTTACACCAGAGCTCATTTCATTGTTATTACTAAGGGGTGTGTACACTTAGACAACCCGTTTTTTTAGTTTTCATTTAAAATTGTTTTTCACAATGCTTGAGCAATTGTTTTTCACTTGGAGGTTGTGTGTTTCAATGTTTAAATAAAGGGAACATCTAAATTAATGTGTCTTGATTTAAGACTCTTAGGCCACAAAATATATAACTTTGGTAAGAGTGTGTATACTGTCTGTAAGGACTGTACATAAATAACTATTTTGGTATTTATATTGAAGATCTATGCCATGTAATGTAGGAAGTGTTAGATTAAAGACTTCAAGTGTAATTGGCAATTTGTGCTGTGCTTCCCTCTCCATTCAACTGGTCCAAGCTGGAGTGTGCATTGCCTTGAAAGAGTTTTGCATAAATCAGTGGCTGGGGGATAGATGTATATATTTATCATTCTCATTAAATATGATGAAAGCACACTTTTAAGAAATACAGGGTCAGATTCTGGGAGATTATGGCTGTTGACCAAAGTAGAGGGGAAAAAGAATATCTGGGAAGGGGCCCAACACTTCTGAGACCCAGAAATGTAATACAATTCTATTATTGATGCTACATGGAAAGTTGTTTGCATATGTACTGTATGTTACGATGTTTGTCTGTCATTTGTCCTATTTCAATTTGTACTGTATATGTTGTATGTATGTCTCATTTGTGTTCTTGCTGTACTGATAGCAAATTCTACCAACTATTGTTGTGTGGCAATAAAGAATAATCTAATGTCAGAACAAGGAAGAAAAGTGTTGGACAGATCACTGTAGTCATTGGATGTTTTTTCTTCTTAATTAGTAGTTGAGACTCTGAATTTAGAGAGTACTGGGAAACAATCACAATGGCAATGTACCCACAAAGAATACAATACACTTAAATGATTCTTAAGGCACAAGAGAATAGATATATGAATGGATGTCATGACTTGTGCTAGTGTCCCAGTTCCTAGCCTACCATTGATGGGCTGTGACATCTTGCCAGGTTAAATATTTCTGGCTGTGAACACCCTAGACCGTGAGCAAAAGGGTGCTGATTTATTCCAGCATTCAACATAGTCTGTCACTGTATCTTGTGGATGGGATCTCTCCCGGCTCCCAGATTTGCTTGTGGTTCTCTTTTGGAGAAGCCTGCACTGTCTACTGTTCCATTGTTTGTTCCTCAGAACGTCTAACTAACACAGTCACTTAAATTCCTCTTCCTCTCTTCAGATGACCTCTTCCTTCTTCAATCTCGGGAAGGCTGGAATGGTTTAATTCTTCTCAACTACTCTGTGTTTCTCTATTACATGAAATGCATACGTGTCCCTTACATATAGAGACACCCTGGTGTGCTTAACTTGGGTTAACTCTTTGATTTGAATTAACCGTATTGCCCCTAAGGGAATTTGTCTTGCCCATGAAGAGCTCATAACATATAACATATGAGACAGTAATACAATACAGCATCAGTTAGTAAGTTAGTAAATTTCAAGCAAAGACTCAACCATTAAGACTAAGGAACTTTCAAGATAATTTAGGAATAAATTAATTTTTAAACACAGATCAGGAGAGGGGAACAAATTAATATTTTAAGTCTCTTAATATCCCTGTGAACTGAATGCATTCAATCCTCAAGAAATGGAAGGTTGATCACACCAATGCATTGATAAGGCCATCTCTCCAAACTGCTGGGCAAGGAGAAAACTGGTTAGGGATGTGAGGGCAGAGGTAACTTTGAAAGATAACATTGAGAGTTCAGTGGCTAAGATGATAGAAAATGGCCATGGTCAGTAATCCTCAGGCCACTCCATAAAGCTTGTGTGGTAGAATGCAAGCCAGTTTGAAATTTTACTTTTAGTTTGTAACAAAGCCTTTGATTTGTGATATTGCAAATATGTGGCAAAAGCTTCTGTAGGTCAGACTAAATTTCTGATGTAGTTGCACAGCCTTACGTTTAGTGCGGGCCTGCACCGTTCCATATGCTGGCCTACAGGAAGATAATCCAGTTACTCCACAGTCGCCTTTTTCTCTCCTCTGCGGTTGACACCAGTGTGTAGTTCCAGGATCAGCCATTCCACTCCCAGTGTGTCTCTGTGACAAATGCCTGTTGTGACCGCTAACAGTGACCACTAAAATATTTTTTTTCATAGTTAAAGGTAAGATGAGAAAAAAAGTAATATTTTAGTAGTTTGTCATTTACTCAGAATTCTTTTAATTTTCTTTCCCAACCTGATTACACCCACTCCTCAGGCTGTGTAAAGATTCTGTTCTGTAAGTCTTTATGCAACCTGAATTTTATGTAAATTTGTCAGAAGCACTATATTGGATAACTCAGTTAGAAATGGATGTTCTGTTCAAGTCACTTCACTGCTCTGTACCATTAGTAATTAAATACAAAACACACAGTAAATAACATCATTTGGGTGCTCCCCTGACACAATTATTCAAAATTCTCAAAGAAAAAGCATTTTGTGAGATGCGATAATGTGCAGAGTTTGCCCAATGTGTGTGAAAAGAAAGCAAGACTGAGAACAAGATTGAGCCAATGCTGGTGGTGACTCTATGCTATTCATCTATGGAAGGAACCTACCACACTACTTGTATATCTGAAATAGATGTTATATTTAAAGTCAAATTTGCACAAGTCCTGTCTTCTGTAACCTAAAAGAGTGGGTGTGCTGGTAATTTGCATAAAAACTGTGTTGGGTGTTCTGAGTAATTCTACAGAAGTATGAATTGGCCTTGCCCTTCTGTATATGTAGCACTAGGATTTAGGCCAAATTCATAGTTCTTGAGCAAATAAAACATTTAATGTCAGACTACAGGATCTGTTCACTGGATCATGTAATACAGAACAAAGAAAGACTGAACACAGCACTGTATATATTTATAAAACCCCTTTTTGTTATTATTTGCTTAGCAGATGCCTTTATTAAGATAGCATACAGCATAGAATTCACAATGATCATGGTGCAGTTGTGCAAGTATAATATGGTAAAAATAAAAATTAAGTTAATAAATTGAGAGTAACTATACTGTACATGGAAGCAATGCAAGTGCTGATTAAACAGTATGAAGTGAAACTAGCCAGTGAAGGCAGGATAATGTTAGCTCCCTATTGGTATGTATTCCACTGTTGACGGTGAAAAGGTGTCATTTGTAAGTTATTGATTACACTTCCCATTACCAAGTATCATTACTTCTTTTTTACAAGTATCTCTATTGCATTTTACACCAACAGATCTTTTAAACTATTACAGAATAAGCAAATTGTTCATACAGTGTTTCATGTCAGAGTAATTTATGGAAAGAAAGATAATTTCCTATCCCTTTCCGATGTCCCTCCCAAATCTTCCCTCAAAAAAGTAAAACTAATGGCATGAGACGCAGACACAAAATACAGAGAGCAAAGCAAAGTACTAATGATATTAAGCCAAAAAAGGTGGAAGGCCAGTCCTATCAGGTTTCACCTGAATAACCAGCTTATAACAGATTGAGGTCTAGGGTCTGGAAGGGAGGCTCAAAGTCTCAAAGACTTTAAAAAGTTAACTATTTAATTATCTTAAATTTAAGAAAATTCATCATCCCTCTGATCCATTAAACAAATTTGGAAGGGACAGTTTGCTTCTGGTTAAAGAAGACAAGGTATCTTGCAAGGAGAGTTGCAAAATAACATGACCTCTTTTTGCCTCCTGAATTTTGATGTAATTGTTCCTACACTTTTTGCACCTATTGCACTACTTCTCAGAATTGACATTCCAAAGTGACCACATGATTACAAACGTGACTTTAACAAGATTGCCGTTTTTGTTTTTGTTTAAAAATTCTTATATTTGTTCAATTTATTTAGATTCTCCCCTTTAATTTTAGTCAGATCACTATTTGTAAAAACCTTTTTTTATGGAAGGTTTTTAGCATTGTAAAAGTATATTTTCACAGTTTGACAACTGCGTTGTGTATCTACTAAATCACAGAACTTATGTGAGTTTTTATTATTATTTGGAAAATGGTCTTATGGAGATATTTTTGATACTGAGATAAAATATCTGAAATAAGTGTGAGCGCTATTTTATGTGGAGCCTGTTTTTGTCTCGTTCTGTCAGGTGTAAGAGTTTGTCAGTGTCTTACTGGAATCCCTATTGGAGACCGCCCCCTGGTGTTTGTGGAATGAACTGCTTTATGGAATCGGCTTTTAGGTAGGCCTGGCTGACATAGTATATACGGTATAAGGTTTATTCTTCAAAAACGAAAATTGTCATTACGTTTTTAGACTTAAATACAATTTTGCATATAGTTTTATAACTATAAATGATATATAATAAATTGTTGTAGTAAAATTCCACTGGTGTGTTTCTGCTTGGTCTACTACTGAATGTTCAATTCTGTTTTTACATAACTGTAATGAAAAGTCTTTTTGATGTTGTAGTCTTTATAAATATTTCCCAGCTATTTTGTTTGCTTATAATTTGTAAGCGATAACAGTATGAAGGTATGAAAGCTTAAAGGAGACGAGGATGTTGTGGTTTAGTGTACGTGGTTATGAAATCACTGTGAGCGTTTTACATTTATATCCAGAGCATTTCATAAAGCATTTTGTTTAACAGTCACACAGTAATAAACATTATGAGTTTTTGAGTAACCCAGCGAAGTTAGTTTTGGGAAAAAATGTTAATCTCCAATTTGTATCAAGTTTGTGGAGACAAATTACTGCACAGAAATGGAAAATCCACATGAAATCTATGACGATTGTGTATATCACTTAGTTAATGTAGCAGTTGTATTTTTTTCACTTTGAATTGCCAGTTATTTTCTATATGCACCTAATTTGGAATTTGGTAGTTACATGTTGGTCACTTCTGGGGCTATGCCCCCTGCAACATGGAGGAGACAGGGAGAGGTACAGCACTGATTGGTACAGCGGTGCCTCTCTGATCAACAACACGGGAAGCTGGCAAGTACCTGGGAAGCCTCTGAGGGTAGCTGTATCTCTGCAAGCCCAGAGAGCTCTGGCCAGCTCACCCCAGCCCTGCAATCCACGGCGCTGTGCCAGCTGTGTGCCGCCCCTGGGGGAGTTGTGGTCATAGCCCAGGCTTGAACCTACAATCTCGGCATCTTGCAGCTCAACCTGCTCTTGAGCGGGAGCCTTGGTTGGTTTAGCCACTCCAGTGCCAAGTTGTTGTTTTTATCAGGTATTTAACACCTAAAACGAACTGAACAGCTCACTCTCTTCAGAGGTGACTGTTTACTGTGTATACTCTCAGAGGAGTTGGTGGCTCATAAGCTGCAAAAGGCAATGTTTTTAACAAGAAAGAAAAATGTACGTGAACATTGTTTTGGAAAAGCCGATGTCCTGTAAAGCAATAAAATGTCTTTGTAAAATGTGTTTACAGTTGTAAATGCCATACAGAGCATTTTGTGCATGGTTGCATATACACAGGGGACTTTGCCTCTTGCTCTGGACTCTGCCCATCTAACTCATTTGGTGCAAGTTGATATTTGATCTGAGGATCTCATTTAAAAGTATTTTAAAGCCAGTCTCCCACAACTCTTTCTGTAAAATAATTGATTGGGGTTTTAGTTAAAATTGTTCTTCCCTATGGTTTGTACTTGTGGTCCCTGGTCTTGTTTCACTGTTGATTCTATTAATAGTATTATCAACCATTAGGCTGACTTTGCCAAAGGCTTTGAAGATGATTGAATTGGGTCCTCTTGAGGACCACACAATGTTCAGTTCCTTCAGCTTGTCAGTGTAGGACATTCCCTTAAGCCTGGGAATGTATTTGGTTGCTACATGTTTTTGTAGTGTGACTGTGAATTGTAAACAGTGTGCTAGATATGATTGTTCTAGTCCTGAACATTAGTGGCATCTCTGTTTCACGGTTTCCCATTTTGTATCTGTTGCCCGTTTTTGCTTTGTTGTTGTAATACTATGTTGTTTACATTAAGTAGTTGCCAGGTTTTTACCCAATCATGAATTTTGTCTAAAACAGTTCAAATTTCAATTACCGCTTCTAAAGTGTTTGATCAGTTTTTACTGTCTCTGTAATCTCTAAACTTCACTAGTTTAGTAACTGTAAGAGAATGTGCACAATTGATATACATTTGGAAGATTTATAATCCTAATGTAGATCCCTGTGATACTCCATTAACATTCAGTAATGTTCAAATTGACAATTCATACCTTATCTGTACTGTTTTCTGCCCATTAGCCAATTCTAAAACTAAATATTTGCATTACATTGAATGCCTACCATTTGCAATTTGAGAGTTAATGTTTTATAAGGAGCTTTATCAAAAGCCTTCTGAAAATCTGAACACACCCACTCTCCAGGTTACATAAGGGTTCATTTCCTTAAGTTTTAATGTAACTCAAATCTTATGTAAGTTAGCGAACTTTTCTTAGCTGTCACTTGAATATATAGTGAGAATTCCAGTTCATAATGTTACAGCAATTGTCTGTTATTTACCCTTGCTGTGTCTGAAAGATGAAAGAGGGACGGGAGAGCAAAATTACAGGCTCACTCAGGGTTTGTTGTCCTTAAATGGTTAACAGGTTTGTGTGCTAATCACAGAGGTGTGTAGAGCACAAGAGACAGATCATAGTAGCTACTGTAGCAATTCATGAAATAGAGAAAAGAAGCTTCTGCCATTTAAGCGGGGACAACTGAAATAAAGATGAGTGAAAGAACATTTTAAAACCCTATGATGAGAATATTTGAACACCAAATGTAGCATTCACTTAAAAATATACATCACAATAAACAAATGAGAATGACCTTTTAACAAATTAATATAAACTGCATTTTTAATTAAGGTTTAAAGGCTTAAACTTAAATTTAAAGAATTAAATAAATCAATTGGATGCTTCCCTGACATGATTCCAATCCAGATTACTAATTTTTCCATGAAAAACATTAGGTAGTATGCAGTAGTTACCAAACATGCATGAAAGCACAGCAAAACTGAAGAGTAAAACAGAGACCTGGTGAAAACCACATTACACTTATTTTTGCAGTGTACATCTGGGGAAGAAGCTTGCTCTTTACTTACTCTTATCTTAACATGAAAATTTTATTATGGAACCCACAACAGATTTTTAAATTAAATTTGTGTAAAGAGTTTTCCACAACCCAGGAAGAAGATGTAAATCATTCTTTGTATCTATTATGGCTGTTTGTTGTTCAGGGCATATTTTTTCTAAAGGTTTTGTTTTAAATTACAAGGTCACAAAATACTTCAAAGTGGCCTTATGTTTATAATGGTGTCTAGAGATCGTATCACCCCTCACAAGACTCGTAGTCATTGATGCAAGCCTAATTTGTACAGCCACTTGAGACATGCCCTTGTTCTTTACTGGACCTCCCCTTGACAGAACAGAGCATGCCTCTTCCATTTCCTGTACAATAGCTGGATAGAAACGTTAATGAACTTGTGAGGCCCAAATTAACTGCAACTGAAAAGATTATAGATCTTAGACGTAAAACAGAAATGTGGTATTACAAAAACTAAATAACTTTTACAACACAGTGCTTTAGATTTCTCTTGAAGATATATCAAGAACTATTGAACTATTTACTCATTGCTTAACTACCTGTTATTCTGTTGCAAAGAGTTAGAATTCTGTTTCACTACTCATGTTTTATCATAGGTTCACTTGAGCTATTTAAAGTATTACTCCTTTTTTCAGTTTTGTTTTAGTGTATTATTCTTCCTTGCTGTAAAGCAAGAAGCGCCTTGTTTGGAGGAGCATGGTTAGTTATTAGTCTAGGTGTTTGAATATTGATTAATTTGACTTAATTATGTTAGAAGTAATTATATATTTATCATCACAGATACGTGAATAAAGAGCCAGGTGACTCTGAAGTGTCCAAGAATTCTCCCAAACCAATGCATCTTGCAGTGGTGGCCTGTGGACAGAGGCTAGAAGAGACTGTTACAATGCTGAAGTCTGCTGTCATTTTCAGCTTAAAACCTCTGCAGTTTCACATCTTTGCAGAAGATCAGCTTCATGGGAATTTTAAAGAAGTGGTAAGAAAGACGATTTTTCTTTTGGCTCCTATACTGGTTGAATTAGTTTTCTCAGTTTGTTTTCAGAAGATTTACTTCTCTCAGTAAGCCATTTCAGTCTGCTCCTAACAGAGTGTGATACAAATCCAAACGTTTCCCAAAATGTAGTTTGGTGACATCTTATTTTTTTTTTATTCTACACATTATATAACTGAAAGCTTGGAGCTTTCCTCTGTTGCTCGAGGTTTCCTTTATACAGTCCATGAGAAAATTCTTATTTAGAAAACATTGTAAACTTTATTGTGTGACATTGCATTACGTTGTGGTGTTAAATGGAAAGTTTCTCCATTCTCTGTATTATTCACTGCCTTTGGTGATCTCAGCTCAATTTAAGCAAATTGGTCTGTGCGAGAGAATGACACTTAATTTATTAAATAAATTGGATAACATATTATAAGTGATTGAATAAATATTGATTGAACCAGAATAAAGTGGTCTGCTAAAACAATATAGGTTAATGGCCAGGGGCATTGTTAGTTTGTGTAACAAAACAATACTTTAAAGATGGATTCTTTTTCTACAAAAAAACTTTCAGTGATATAAAAAGAAAGTAGTTAAAATGGCATGAACAGTTAATGGTAGTGCTACTGAGGTTTTTGAGTTTTTGAATATTTTGCAAAGATGTTAATATCATTTTTAATCCTCACAGAGAAACATCACACTTAACCTGTTGTAAATAAAATGACAAAGCAATTAAAATGTTTTTCTTTCCCCATATGTATAGTAAGAAACAATATGACAGTTAGGTTTAATTTCTGTTCATTTTTGTATTCACTAGTATAAAAGTTGAAATATTTTTCAGACTTAAAGGAGCACATGATTCATTTTATTATTTTTAATTTCTTACTTTGATACAGCTGGAGTCATGGCCACAGCAGTTTCGACTGAAGTTTAACTACACGGTTTACTCCATCACATTTCCCAGTGAGAATGCAGCCGAGTGGAAGAAACTGTTCAAGCCCTGTGCTTCACAGAGGCTCTTTCTGCCTGTAAGTTTGCAGTAAACACACTTTCGGAAATACAGGTTTCATTTGGCAGTTGAACAAAATGCAAAGCAGAGTGAGCAAAAAGTATTGCAAAAAGAGTGGCTTTTCTTAGAAAGTAACCAGCAACCATATCATCCTGCAGCTCACAACTGACAGCCCACTGAAGCTAAGCAAGTGTGAGCGTGCTCAGTACCTGGATGTGAGACCTCCTGGAAAAAACTAAGGTTGTTGCTATAAGTTGTGTTAGTGGGGCCAGCAGGGGGTGCTCACCTTGCAGTCTGTGTGGGTCCTAATGCCCCAGTATAGTGATGGGGACACTATAATGTAAAAAAAAAAAGGCGCCGTCCTTTGGATGAGACATAAAATCGAGGTCCTGACTCTCTGTGGTCATTAAAAATCCCAGGGTGCTTCTCGAAAAGAGTAGGGGTGTAACCCTGGTGTCTTGGCCACATTTCCCATTGACCCTTACCAATCATGGCCTCCTAATAATCCCTGTCTCTGAATTGGCTTCGTCACTCTGTTCTCCTCCACACTGATGGCTGGTGTGCGGTCAGTGTACACCTCATTATGGCTGCTGTTGCATCATCCAGATTGCTGCACATTGGTCGTGATGGAGGGGATCCCCATTACCTCTCAAGCACTTTGAGTGAATTGTCTAGAAAAGTGCTATATAAGTGTAAGCAATTATCATTATTATTATTTATTAGAAACTACATAGGAATGATTGAGAATTAAAGGGTGATACATTCAGCTGCAAATAGAACCTTGATTTCCTATACAATAAAAGGGGCATTTTGAGTATTTGTAAGGGGCCTTATAATTAATTTGTTTGTCTCCTGTGACGGTGAAATTTGTTTGGGGGGATTTTCACCTCTTCACATAACACACCTCACACTACTTACTGAAGTGGACTTACTCTTATAAATCAGTCCATCATGGTCCTTTTTGTTTAGCTGGTCATGCTCTGTTCCCGTCTTCCTTTTTACGCTAAAAACCACCTAGGCTGCTACTTTCTCAAAAGTCACACAGACGTCTCGTTCAGACGGCCGTGCTCCCTCTCATCATGCTGTCTATAACATCTGTTAATAACCAGTCCCCACTGGGAATTTTGCTGGAACCTATTCACTTTCTGGGAGACACGCTGCAACATATGCGAGGGCCTAACTTCTCCGAGTCAGCTAGGACTCACGCACTGGCCATTTTGTAGGGAAACGGGCTGTACACAGCTGACGCCAATCCCCTGATTTCCTCTTGCATATGTGCTCTCCTGCACACACCATTAACACATGGGTGAAGGAGGTTTTGGGTTGTGACTGACAATTTCAGTGCAACGACTGATAAAGATCATTGGTGTCTTGTAAATATCTTTGATTTGTTCTGTGTATAGTTGATTACTTTAAAATATAGTTTATAGTCAAATCTAAAGTCTAACAAATGAACCTCTAGCTGTGCTGACCTGCTGTTTTAATCTGTGTACCTTCTTATCCTTGGCAGAAGCACAGCAGTGTTTACAAGTGACTACATAGCCTCATGACAGGCAGACAGAATTCTTGTCTTGTAATGACTCGAATTCTAGAACAGAAATTATAGAGTTCATGCGTACGTTATTTGAAGGATCTCCGAATATTACTTTTCCTTTTATTAGTGGTGTTCAGTCAATTTTGCACCAACACAGGTAAGTCTTGGCAGTAGTCTGAATTTTATACTTGAGGTATAGCTCACATCATCCACTCTAAAGAGAGGCTAATACTGTTTTTCCTTTACTGCCTTTTGTGCTATGCCTTTAATGTTCTCTGTTGTTTCTGCTTAGAATGTTTGCAGTGCAAATCATTACAATAGAACTAGCTTCTGAAATGAGTTTTTATGCTGAACATGAAGCAATGCAGTGGAGAAGCCAATTTTTGCTGCTGCATTAACCTGCTTTTCATTGTCATAATTGAAGGAAGCTCCTAATTGGAATCAAATGTTAAAATGATCTTTTTGGCAGGAAATGCTACAACAATCCTGCGTAATGTTGCTGGATTTACATAATGTTTTCAATGATGCAGCACTGATTACCTCTTGTGTTTAAATGTTTTTCAGATAATCCTTAAGGACGTGGACTCTTTGCTGTATGTTGACACAGACATTTTATTCCTACAGCCGGTAGATGAGATTTGGTCTTTTCTCAGTAAATTTAACTCTACTCAGATTGCTGCCATGGCTTCAGAGCACGAAGAGCCCCGTATTGGATGGTATAACCGGTTTGCCAGGCATCCTTTTTATGGAAAGACTGGCGTGAACTCCGGTGTAATGCTAATGAATATGACTAGGATTCGACAAAAACATTTTAAGGTACTTTCCATTTTGTTTGAAGTCTGATTCTCTGCCACACAGGATTATGGGGGTTTTAAAGTGTTTAGAAACAAGTATAAGTTTACATAATTAAAAGTTTATTTACAATCAGCATTTTTGACACTGGCAGTATGTCATTTTTGCGAAGTGCATACTTGTATAAGAAATGGAATGCAGCATTTTCTCTTGAGTTTTACCAGATCACTACAGGTCAGTGCCAGGTTATTGTAGTATTGGATTATTTGCTAACCCATTTTCCCCTTTTAATACAGAACAGATTATTTTTTATCCCAAACAATCAAAATGCTGCTTTCCTATTTCTTATTATGAGTATATTTTTTCTTATGTAACTGTACTACAGGAATCCCTCAAATAATGCATATCTTCTTATCGTGTTTTTGTATTGGTTAATTTGGTTTAGTTGGTAATATGGTTTATTTGGGATCATTTTTCACTTTAAGCGGCCCTTCGCACAGATTGATGGCAAATCTGGTGGCCGATTACTTCACTGAGTGGTATAAATTGTGGGAATACGCAAAAGCGGATGAACACATGAAGTACTCTGTAATCTGTCTCATTATCATCGACATTATCCATCTGTCCATCCATCCATTTCAGAAAGCAATGGGCACAAGGCATAATACACCCTGGATGGGGCGACAGTCCATTGCAGGGCACACACAGACACAAAACATGAACATACTCGCGCCACGGTCAATTTTTCCAGAAGCCAATTAATCGGCCTGGATGGTGGGAGAAAATAGACCACCTCAAGGAAAGTTACGCAAATGTGGAGAACATGAAACATAGATAACACCCCAGGTCTGGAATTGAACCCAGGGCCCCAGCACAGTGAGGCAGTAATGCTGACCACTGTACCACCTTGTTCACTGTGTGAGCATTACCATGAGTGGAACGCATGTGCAAATTGATACCAGTGCTCTGCAATGTAAGTAAATGTAACTTATTGCTTTATTTGAGGAATTACTGTGTTTGCTGAAAGATAAGGAAAAAGTGTTCATTTTCATGAAAAGCTTAAAATATAATGGCTTTTTAGTTAAATAATTTCTCAAAAGAAGAAAGAAAAGAGAAAAGAAAAGCTTTTGAATTACCATCCTATTGCTCATTCTGAGTCCTTGTTATTCCATTGCTGGCCAGAAGATGTCATAGTTGTCATTCTGCTGAAAGAGCTGTTCAGCTTAATTGTGAAACTTTCAATGTTGAGAAAAGGTTTCTAGTAGCTTGTTACAACATGCTAACAAGCACTTTGTTTAATGCTTACCACCTATTTGAAAGTTAATATTTTATGTGTGATTAGTAATTAGCAATAGCTCTTATATTATGGCTATTGACAAGTTATTCTTTTATCTGTACCTTTATTCATGATTAAGGGTATTTAGTTTAGGTATATTAAGGGTATATTTTAAAAATGTTACTTTAGTCAAGGTTCGGGTCTGTCACCAAGTGTAAATTGTCAGATTAGGTCTCCTATAGCTTTTACACTTGGGACTTTGTAGTTCTGTATTTAGGAATGTGTGCTTTTATGTTGTTTATGTAGGTTTTGAAAATATGGCTTTTTAGAAAACTTTAATATTATTTATTAATTTGCTTGTAAGTATCACAAATTATAAATTTGAGGTGTACAAATCAAAGGTATCCCTTCTCTGGCTATTTCACAGAATGATATGACTACTGTTCATCTTCATTGGGATGAGCTGTTAATGCCACTACTTCGAAAGTACAAGCTGAACATAACCTGGGGAGACCAAGACTTGTTAAACATCATCTTTCACCACAACCCAGGTAAACGTTGTACATTATTCATTTGTTGACTTTTACAAGAATACATTATAGCAGACGGTGTCATAGAAATTGAAGAATGCAGATTCTTAAATGATCATAAATATCTATGTACTGAGCTAAACCATGGACTTTACCTTTTGTGGTGGACAAATTCTAAATTGCAGGTCAGTCTGCATAAGTGTTTTTGTTTAAAGAAAAGCAAATTAGTTTAACACGAACCCTCTTTTCTAGCTAATCACAAATAATATAACCAGTGTTATACATTAAAATGTTAAAGTAATATAATTGTCTACAACATATATCATTCATCCTGTGGTTATTGTTCCTAGGGCAAGAGGGTAAGGGCCACCTTGAAAACATTGAGCCAAACATTGACACTGATTTTAACGCCTTTGTTGTATTAAACGAAGCCTTTGCCATGCAGCTGGAAGTTTGTTTGCTCTGCAAGACAGCTGTGTGTTTCTACTTTGTTGCTTATATATTTATATAACTATTAGCTGCAGTCCCGTTAAATATGTTATATTCTCAGAATGTCCTTTCAGTATGTCCTTTCGCCACCGAGAAGTGTCAGCTCCAGCATAAGTTATTTATGGCTGTGACAATGACAAGGGAATCTAAAATTCAGAACTATATTTTCATATTGGGAAATACTAATTTTTATGTCACAGTAAAGTAGAATCCTGGTGATTACAGAGGACCCTCTTTGGTTTTGAATGTGTGCGTGAGTGAGGTGTCAGTGTGAGTACAAATTCACATTGGGAGATCTTGCATTAGAATGACTGACAAGAATGATAGCAGTTTAATGAACATCTCTACAAACCACAAATTTCAGAGCAGAATTATTTTGTTTAGTGCTGTTAAACCTGGCGATGGCTAAGGGCTGCAAATATAAGCGGACTTTCAAAATTGGTACTATCACACCTCCAGTGTAAGTGAAATGGATCAGGTTAACCTGTTTCAGAAGTAGGAACATTTTTTAATCCTTGTCACTAGCATTGTATTGATACTTCTGTTCCTAACTCTTGTGGTCACTCATCAGTAAGAAGGGGTAAAGTTTTTGGGTCAGATAACTAATCACAATTCTATAAAACCCTGCTCTTACCATTTACTTTCTTTTTTTAAAGTTGTGGATCTGAAATCCTGCAGTGATGTTTTTGCATCGTATGCAATAAGCCTACAAAGCTTTTTACTCAATTTGGGTTTTATGTAGATTACTAACCTTTTACGATCTTAAAGATAGGTTGGATCCTCCAGAGGATGTAATGTTAATTCTACTCTTACATACTAACAATACAATGTGATTACTCCAGTCTTGCACACTATGAGTATTGTGTGTTTCTGTATTCCTGAAAGCCATGTTAGAATTCAGTAACACAAGGTTTTAGCTTTAACTGGTACTGTATACTTCACCTCGTGTAGGTGTTGTAAAAAAAAGAACATTTTCTATTTCCTCTTTGATAATTTGTATGTTGAATGTCCTAATATGTAATTGTACCGTTAATGATACCATAATTGATATGGCATGCAATAATGTAAAATAGCATTTGGGGTTTTCTCTCCAACTGTGTTCCAAAATATAATTTGTGTGTTTTGTACTGTACTTTTGAAGTCCTTTTGTTGCTATTTTTGTTTTAGAGAGTCTCTTTGTGTTCCCTTGCCAATGGAACTATCGCCCTGACCACTGTATTTATGGAAGCAACTGCATACCAGCTGAAGAAGAAGGAGTGTTCATTCTTCATGGAAATCGGGGTGTTTATCATGATGAAAAACAGCCTTCTTTCAGAGCTGTATATGAAGTCATTCAAAAAGTATGCACCATCTTTTGTTTTTGTTTACGTAGGTACAAAAAGAGGAGATTCAGTAGTAATACTAGTGTACAGGATAAATGATTAATATCAAATGATTGTCAGATATTTAAGTTGGTCCTGATATCAACTTAAAAGCAATTTCTGAAAGGTAATTTAATAAACAGGCAATAAATAAGACAGGTTTTATTCAAGCTTCAGTGATAAATGATTAAGATCCTTAATTTGTAAAGAAAACTATGGAAATATTTTCACTTGGTTCACTTAGGTTTTTAACCTTTTTGTGTAGCTCAGAAATTCGAGGGTTCAATAATATCTACTTCAAGAAATTAATTTCTCCTATTTTGCAGGCATGAATTCTCATGTTTATATAGTAATTTTATAGTGATTTATACTGTAGTTTACAGTTAAATGACCTAAGTAAGCTTTTTTGTCCACAAACTACAAAGCATTACTTTCCAGATGTTTAGAACAAAATCCTTCTTCAACTGTTTAAAAGAACCAAAAATATATATAAGTATGCTGTAGATGTAATGACACTAGTTATATAAGTAACATTTATCACATTTTCAGTGAACTTTGAGTCATCCTTGCCGTACTATTAAAGAAACTTTGGAGCGGGTTGTAGAAATGATAGATCGATCGATAGTTCTTTTAACTTAGCTGTCAGTGTGCCATCAGTTTAGAGAAAATCACTAATCTGGGCTCTAGACATCCAGTGTTCCAGTCACCCATTATTGCTTTAATCTTTTAGCTTTGTAGCCCATCTCCCACTGATCAACTGATAGGTGTGTTAGCAACGCTGTTATCCAAAGAGCAGTTTCCATCTTTGCCTCTGCCATGAATTTTGTTCTTTTCTGTTGATATCATCAGTGTGCATGTTTCATTAGCAACCATTCATCCATTAAAACTATTCCAAACCAATTAGTATCAATGTGGCAGTGTTCCTGGCCATTAGCTAAATTAGCCTGCTTCATTATCTCAGCTCCCAATAGAAAGTCATCTCCCTCTTATACTATGGGGCACACATCAACATACTTGACATTACTTAGCATTAAGGAGAACCTGCAGCAATTGGTATTAAATGAGGGAACGTTGACTGCATTCTATTTATATTTCCCAAGCATAGAAATGTAGTCTGTGGTTTGGTTGAAATAAAAGGTGTTATATGTATTTATATATATGGTGTTCTCTAGATTCATATTGAAAACTTATGTTTTTCTTTCCTGTCGACCTATTTATGTTTGTGATCATTAGAAGAATTTGAAAGATCCCTACAATGGAATATTTTATCTTTGGGTTGTTTCATGCATATATTTGATCATATTAGAATAAAAATATACTTGTGTATTATATTGTTCCTATAATTTATATTAATCTCATGATCACAACACATATTGGTTGACAGATCTATCCATTGTGGTCATCCACACTTTGGTCAATACCTTTGATGATAATGACTTAGTTGCCTTTTAGAATGTAAACTTATTTCGCATCCCAGTTCCACCCCCCATTTCAGTGTCTGATTTGTCTTGATAGCAGCTACTAGTGGTCTAGTCCATCACATGATTTTTATATGCCAGGTTAGTCCTCTGTCTGTCACTGTATAAATCAGATAATCTGGGAAGATGTGAAGGTAAACATTTTTCGTCTTCAAAAAAATTGTTTACACCACTAATTCATTTTAAACATGCACACAAAATGTACACACCACAGTCAACGCTGTCACATTAAAATAGCTCCTAATTCTTTATGACACAGATGTACTGATACAAATGGCATCTGTCATCTTATGTCGTAGGAATGCCCTCTGGTAAAACACTTCTTATCACATGTAACTGCTGAGCTTTCTGACTTGAGGTACTGAGGTAACTTTGCTAGTGAATCTCGGACTCCTCCTCAGCGATGATTCCCAAGTCATTATTAGTCTTCATGTCCGACAGCTGTTGTTAACAGACCTAATTGCACCCAAAGACTCTTATCTTGCAGGTCACGCTGGATATCAAAATACCACTAAGTAGTAGTACAAGGTTACATTTTTTTGGTAATTTGTATAGTGTTGGTGCTAAAAATCTATTGGGACAGATGCCTTTTTAGTTTTTCTTGTTATAATTAATCTCTCTTCTCACATTTTATGTTTTGTGCTTGTGAGCTCCTTTCTTGTGTTGCTGTTCTTTACTTGTGCATTTCTGAAAGCACTAAAACATTTGATAAAATCATAAGATTACCATAGATTTGTCTATAATGACTACTTTATTTTTTTTTACACAGCAGTGTAGATTTTATTTTGGAATTATGCCTAATGATGTCACGTCATTTAGTGAATTTGTATTGGTAGCATGGGTTGGCTCTACCTCAGGTTTGGTATCTTTCTTTAATGGGATGACAGTCTGCAGGCAGGCGACGCCTTCTTGATGACTTCTTGGGGACTTTGGAGGTAGCAAAGATCTGTTTTGCAGAGATTGATTTTTGTAGCTTAGCTTTTGTAGCTAAACGTGCTTCCAAAAAGAAAAGCTTAAATAGCCTTTCATTTCCTAAATATTGACTTCCCGGAGAAAAGTGTTCAGTTGCCCCTAATTCCTGATTGCCATTCGGAACTTCAGCAAACAAAGTCTGCAAATGCTGTGATCCCTCCATAGACACAATCTCTGAGACTGCAGTTTCTTTGGTAATAAAGTGCTCTTGTGTTATATCACCATGCTCACCGAAGAGTTGTAAAAATTTAGAGTTGTAAAAATTTAGTGCTGACGGTTCTTTTAAAATCCAGGATGAGATCTGGACAATGCACTATTATCCACATAAAATCAATAGTAGACAGTAAATGGTACTTTATTGCTGGTTGATGTGTGCATACCATAATAAACGAATGTACTTTTAGTGACCTAATGCTAGACCAAACTGAAAGTAAATGAGCTCCCATAAAAATGTAATTTCTCTTTATTTCCTATGAGCATTGTAAAAGTAGTTTCATTATTGGAAAGAAAAATTACTTTGATGCTTTATTCATGAATATGACTGGAAAGGGCCTGTCCATGACACTTTGATTTAATGATGTTGACTGCAGTATTTGGAGCTGATGTGGCTTAGCTGCTTTTTGAAGTAGCTCTTACTCTAAATGTAGATAGACTGAGTGCATTCATTAATTTCAAGTCACTATCCAAATAAGCAAAGAAATTGCCAGGCATTTTATATTTTAATCAAAAGACTGATTTTAATACTAGAACTTACAGGATTGTTTACAAATTTGCCAACAGCATTAATTTACATGATGTTTGAATTTGTGTCCTGAAATCTTTTCTAAATTGTCAGCTTTCTCAACATGACTTTACTGTAAGGTCCCTGTAGATGTGTGTACCAAGCAATTGATTTTTGGAGACAGGGTTTGTTCTGTAGTGCTGTTACTCTAATTAAAGAAACAAATTAATATATGTCTTGGGAACAGATCACTGCTGTTGTGTGATAAAGGAAGAGCACAGTACAGTTTAATTTTTAGCATGATTCAGCTTTTCTGCAACATATCCAAACATAAGTATTTTGAGCAGGTTAGTGAAAAATACAAATTAGAAATTTACATAAATGCCATTTCTTTGTTAATTCATTGTTATTTTCTACTTCCAACACATTAGAGTATATATTTTCTTTTTATTATATATTAATATAATAGGATTAATTAATCCTGTTTTAATGAATTTGGTCTTACTGATATTTCATTTCTGCATTTCTTTTCAGTACACACTTGGAGAAGATCCAGTTGATGCCCTACTGAGACCCCTTGAAGAACAATTGCAAAGAACAACTCATAGTTATTGTGGAAGAGTCAGACATTTATTCACAAAGAAATTGCAGGAGACTGTAAAGACTATCCAAGGTACTATCCCAAGAGGAAGGTGATGTTTTCAAGGTATCTCTACATGATGATCTGCTCTTGGCTTCAGGAACATGAACCTATAATATGTGACTAATGCAGAGGTTTTGGGGTCTCTGAAATTGTGTCATATATTTTACGAGGAAACATCATTCCAATGTTTTGGAAGTTTAAGAAAAAGAAGCAGCTTTTTTGCTCCTTTCTTAACAATAGGCAGTGAGAAGTATTGCTAGTTTGTAAGGAGTTGGGGTCTACTCAGTTTGCGATTTCATAGATCTCAAGGAGGTCATGAAGTAAGAGTTTGACAATGAAAATAACTTTAGTAATAAAGTTACTAAGTAATAAGTGATCTGATATATCAGTTGAAACCATCTTTACAATGAGTAGACTGAATTACAATCATCAGGTCTTTGTCTACCATTTATTTTGTCCATAAAAAGCTTTCAAGTGACTCAAGTTAAATTGGAAGAACATAATTTTATAAGGCTGCATGAAGCTTACATTAAGTTTTAAAGCAGGAACCTTACATGCAGATGTCGGTAAATGATTTGTTCATCTCTTCATGTGATTTTTGATTTCTTCAGAAATTGGTTCTTTTACCAGTTGATCGTCCAGAATCTACAAAAAATATTTTAGAACTTCATTTTTAACAGCCAAAATAACAAGTATATCTTACTGTATGCATTTTTATTAACTCGTTGGCTGAGAAGGCAATGATCTATCCGTTTTTCTTAAACTGTTACTTTAACTATCATCTGTTAATTCCGCAATTGTCATAGGCTCTACAAAAGGCTCTCTAAAGGCATTTTACAGAGAAAAAACATATTGATATTTCTCTGCAAATTAAGTAGACTCTAACTAAGAAGCACTAATCTGCACAGCTGGCAAATTGAAACATTTGGCAGTTGTGTGTTATGATGCTTCATAATATGAAGAGGTTACTTGACAATCATTTTCTCTAAGGTGGAAAAAAACTATCGAAGACCTCTTGAAATACATGGTATCACTTTTGGTGAATGAAAGTCTGTTCTTCTGTTATATGGGCATATACATTTATTCAAATCTTTGAAAAGTATCAATAGGTATTTTGGTCACTGAACTTTTGAGTGCAGGTCCTGCAAAGGAAAAAGTAAAAAGAGAAAAGGGAAAGGCTACATTTCTTAAAATGAATGAAATAATGCATTTAAAGAATATTAAAATATCAGAATAATTCTTGTCAAAGTGCAGTTTTCAGATTATTATTTTTAGCATTATTTTAGAGCTTAACTCATCCTGTTCAAGTGGAAAATTTCACATCACAACAGCAAGTATATTTAATATTGTGAATAGCTGTTTTCCCATTCTTTAAACACAAAAGCATAAATATTCAATTATTAAATTAAAACCAGAAATTTAATCCTGTCATAAATTCATAAATATACCAACATAAGAAGCAACACAATTACATATTTCTTAAATACCATTTGTGACAGAAGAATATTCAGAAAACACAATTGTGTGCTAATTAATGCCATTGAAGCAAACACATCCATTTAGTAAATCTTTATGTATTGGCTTTAAAAACAAAACTGGTTTCATGTGTAGTTTTGTCTCATAATCAATGGAAAGCAGTTTACATATTGACCCTTGTTAAGAAATTCCTTGTCATTTCTAGCTAGACTTGAAGCTTGAATTTTTTATGAGGACAGAAAGCCCAAGGTTTTGTGTTCCACAAGTATAGATAAAATGCATTTTTCTCCATCTCACAGGCATTTTCTTGTCTAATGTACAGCATAATTTAGAATCACAAAATTGCAAAGCAATATTGAGAGTTTTATTTACGTCTTAATATTTAATATTTTTAATAAAATTTATAGAAAAATGTTACGTAGGTTGTTCTCAATGCAGTATATAAGTTGCACTAAATATGAATCTGTAAATGCAAGATGTTGCTTAATTGTTTAATTGTCTTCTGTAACATGTTTATTTTGAAACACTCGACAACTATTAGGGCTTTGGTTCCCAACCAGTACCATCATGCAAGAAAGGATTTGAAAAAATCAAATGTGAGATAAAATTGAAACAGGCCTCTGCTGTGTGAGAAACAGGACTCTGCTGTTGCTTTTTGCTTTTCAACGGTGTAAACAAACACTTAAATACAAACTGTTTAAGATCAGTAGAGAGAAAGACAATTTCAAAAGTATATTTTACATGTTTATTAATACTTAAATTATTTTCATGTTGATGAAGTAGAGTAAATGTACCTCAGACTGAAACATTGTATTAGAAAGTGTTATGATGCTCTGAAATCATATCACTTAAGTCATATTTTGTTAGTAAATACAAGGTTTTTTTTTTTACAATTACTAATTTTTACTTGCACATTGAGTGAATGGTTTTATAGATTCAGATTCAGTTGCATTTGCTCATTTAAAAATGTAAATCATTGATTTGAATAGCTGCAATTTTTATTCTCTTCTAGGGCATTTCACTGAAAAAAGAGTTACCAAAGTTTGACATTAACAAATGTTTCTTTGACTGTAAAATTGAACAAAGGGCACATACCGATAGCACCAGCATAAAAACTCGAAATGTGTCAGGACACTAAACACAAAGCTACTTTACCAAAATATGTTAACACCAGCATTTGTTCTGTGACCTTTTCTGTCTCCTTGTTTCTGACAGGCAAAAGATCGTTATATTGTGCAAGATCATTGTGAAAGATCATTGTGCAAGATCATTGTGCAATGTCTTTCACCTTAATTAGTTTTAAATCTTAAGCTTTAATTGTATCCCTCTATGGTACACACTTCAAAGAACAACAAACAAAATGCATCCATGAATTTGTAATGAATTCGGTCCCAGAAACACAAATTTGATCACAGTGTTCAAACATGCATTGTACCATAACTATTGGACAGCATTAGAATAAAAAATTAAAAAATTATAAAAAATATAATTCAAATTAAAGTGTTCTGATTTACAAATAAACTTCTTAGTATCATTTCAAGAAAACATTTTAGCAATACATTTTACAAACAATACATTTTTTTCTAAAATATTTTTAACAATTTTTACATTTCCTATTAACAAAGCAAATAAAAAATGATTTACATTAAAAACATTCAATTATTCAATTCATTCTAAAACGACAAATTCCTGAATTTTAACATTTTAAACAGCTTTTCCATTTTTTTTTCATTGCTTATAATAAACCCAGGAATTTGACCATAGGTTTTTAGACCCACCAAAAATATTTTATCATTACATCAGTCATTTCTTAATAACATTTAAAAATAATGGATAATGCAAACTAATATAAACAATTGGAAAGTAGTCAAACGATGAAAACACACTTCTGTCAGGGCTTTGCTTTTACCCTGCATTAGAAGCTAGCATAGGTGTTCATCCAACCTAAGGTCTGTTTAGTTAAGTCCATAAAACAATTCCGTGTGGCAAATTTCTGACCCTTAACGTTTGTGTGTTCTTGGCACCCTCAATCTTTGCATTGCTGTGTCTTATCCATGTACGCTTATCCTGTCTGTAGTCCAGGCTGGGCAGCATCTAAAACGTTCTCTTCTTCACCATTGTCAGACTCTCCTCAGGTCAACTTGGACTTCCTTTCTTTTAGCCTTTGGCTGCCCAGCAAGCGGTTTGTGCTACAGTAGGTCACACTGGACGTCAGAGAAAGAAAGCTGATGTTTCTTTTTGCCATCTTGTTTCTTGTTGTTCAGTTTTGTGTCTGATGGCATTTTATTGCTTGGAACACAGTTCAACTGCATGACTACATTTGCACTTGCACCAACTGAAGGCAAATCGGCTGGATGGTCTACTTGCTTTGCGTAAATCTCCATGTGATAGATGATGCCACTAACACCAGCAAGGCAGAACATTTTGTAACCCTTCTTTTTTGGTTTTGTGGGGGTAATACTGTTTCAGATTACTTCTTGCTTTAAATGGAATCACTTGCTTGTCCACAGACAGACATATTTCCATGTTATCTTGTTCAACCTTCCTCTGATTAAGGTCAAATTATTTCCTTATTTTGATTAAGTCAGTGTTATCATGTGATATTTTGGAGAGTTCCATGAAGTGGAGATTGTTTTTTTAAAAATCCCAGCAGTATAGTGACATAAAATCTTCAACCTGTGGAATATTGAATTTGGATGCCCAGAGTTTCCTTGTACTTGACATGGCAATCAGGACATATTAAACACATTCCTAAGAACTGCTCTAATTTTTTAATATCCAACTGAACCAGAACGATGATCTGCAGTCTGTAATCATGCATGGTGTTGTCAACTACAGTTCTGAAGTACTTTATTAGACTGCTAACAAAGGTTTTCTGGTGTTGCTTGTATTTGGTTATTATTTGTCTTGCACAGAAGTGAACACTTTGTAATTATTGTTTTTTCATCTAGTGAACAAAGATAGCCAACAAATAAATGGACGGTAGTATGTTGATTGCTGCTGATTTGCCGTATAATGCGTTTTGTTCCAATCTAAGCAGATGCTTATTTTCAAAATATTTCAGATTTCATTTCATTATTATTCATAGATCTATCCACTGCTGGTTCAAATATTAGAATGTATGCAGCCTAACATCACAGGATGTTGCAGAATTAATTTCTTAGCTATTCCTCTGATTATCTACTGCTGTAACTTATGTAGCAGTAAATAATGAACCAACCATAGCTAACCACAACTAGTCACTTCTACCTCACCTGTCAATTCTGTCCACTCAGTCATTTCCTCATCGCTTTCCTGTGGGGAATTAAAGCTAGCTGCTTTGCTTTTCTCATAGAATTACACGGCTACTTAGTCTTCCATCTATGGATTTTTGTCATCCTACAAAGAGGAGATTCACAGTAAATTTCATATTGGGCTATAAAGTATCCCTAACAATCCACAAATCAAACATGCACGTGTTTAAACATGCATATATATTTTTAGTCATATTTACTCAAATTCCATAATTGCTGTCAGGAAAGCTGTCAGAAAAATGTACACTGTACAGTAATGACTTTCTACCTCTCAATAACTATACATTTATTTAGTTTTATTATTTAGCATACATCAAATCATGCAGGAATATCTCTAATGTAAATATCACAATCACAAAAACACATTTTTATTCTTGCTTGGATTCCTAGCTCTTCATGATTTTTTGCTGGTTTCTGCAGAAGGGGTACTTTCTATAATTACTGGCATGTACTTCCTAACAATTAGGAAAGCACTTAACAATTGAGGTATAATACTGTAAATGTAATTTTATTTTTTATATTTTAATAAAGAATGAAGCAATAAATGAAAATTGCATTGTGCAAACAGTGCACCAATACATAACAGTGACTATTTCCATATAATATTTTTGAACATAGTTGATTTGGTAACAGGCTGTTTCCTGCCTCTTCTGAAATGACAGTCAGGAACATTGCATAGAGCACCTTTAGGAATGAAAATATGTGAATGAAGCAGTTGAATATTTAGTAACCATATTGCCATTACTCCTTTAAGACAAGCAATTAAAAGCCCTTTGTAAATCTTTCACTTCTTTGATAAGTGGCAGTTTCACAGAGACGTTTTCTTTAGGTATAATTTTCATGTTGTCTGTACAGGTACTGTAATATAGTATTCACTGATTTAAATCAGTTGTGTCTTGTAGTGCAGATTTAGTAAACAAGCGTACTAATAATACATTGGTAACTCCTTTGGTGAAATGACCCTGCAGCGCGTTTGTAAAGAAATATGATGTGGAAAAATAACTTTTATATTTTTTCTTATTTAATTTGATATTTTTCCAATAATATTTCGTGCTGAAACATTGAAAAAAATTGCATTACAGATTATACCTTTGTTTACCGGTGGTTATAATGATGGAGAAAATAACTGCATTGCATTTTTGAAGTTTGACAATGAAATAAACTGGAAAACGTTACATTATACGGAAGTTTACATTGTGAAATCATGTCAGTTTGTTGAACAAATATGTGAGATTTACATCTTGTATACTTTAGAATTATAGTATATTTTTGAAGTTGACAACTCTTTAAATATTGAAATTGTCATATGTAAACATATTTTTTTAATAAATTGTTAAAATTTAAGACTAAAATGTGATTTGTTTAAATTTTTCCTCTTGGTAAAATTCTGACATGATAAAGGATTAGAATAGTCATTAGTAAAACTTGTATGTAAGTTGTGTTTTATAAGAATAACAGTGCTCTTCAAGGACAGGGAATAAGGTATTTTGAGAACTCGAATACACAATCCTGTGTAGTCTGTGTGGGTAGTGTAGTTCAGGATGTGTTTCCTCCACCAATCCAGATTTGAAACAAAACATTCAAAAATCAAGCTTCCAGGGCAAGCATAGGATAGATTTATTAAAAGTATAGGGCCAGATAGGACCGCCAGCAAACTCGGGATGTCTCGCTAGAACACAAGACGGGGGACACAAAGAAAAAAAACAACTTCACAAAACAAGTATAAAAACATAAACCTAACAGAAGACTATCTACCAACGGAAAAAAAAAAACATTTGTGGATTACCACCACTTTTCCTCCTTTACTGCACACAAAATTACTAACCAGACTCTCTCAAAAACCTCTCCATGCCCTGCTTCCCAGCAAACTTTTACAGGACGTGGAATGTTCCAAAACAAAAAGTAACCATAAAAATAATGCAATACATGAAACAATCCACATCCATATTACAGACAGCTTAAATTATACACATGCACTAACAATACAGGAACACAATACAATTCATTATAGATATTTATAAGATTAAAAGTGATTCATTCACTTGTAATTAGAAATGGTGCATTCCTATGAATGGGCTACTATAAGTGTGGGCCTTCTTATACAAGATCCTTGTAGGTAAGTAATAAAGTATTTACTCCTGTAAGTACATCAGTGGCAGACTCCCATGTCACAAACTCATATAATCGAGATGTCAAGCATCATGTTTGGCAAGACCATTTTTGTCCAACTTGCCAGTCAAAGAAATCCTCCAGAATTCAATTTGCACCTTATCCAAACTTAAAAAGCCCACACATAATGCATGTACAGTATATATGGTGATAATGTTCTTTACCTCTCACCAATCACAGTACTCCTCTCTGATGTAATAGAATGGTAAATATTGATTACTGTTGAACAAGTGCATAGATAAATTCAAGGGAATTCAAATGTGTTTTAACTGCCTTTCAGCTCTTTCAGTCCTTTATATTGTTTCAAATTTTGCAGTCAGGGGAATGCTTTGCTTTACTAACACTTGAAGTAATACTTTTTGTCAACATTATAATAGCAACACATTTTGTTAATATAATGATACAAATAAAAAGAATGTTCAGTGAGATCACAAGAGACTTTGTTGTAACAAAAAGAGCAATGAAAACTAAGTGTTTAATTACATTTCAATGTAGCAAAAGCTTTTAAAGCATTGAGCAGTTGTGTAACAATGGGTGAGTGTATACAATTGCTTATTTATTTTTTTCCAGTTGTTGAATGAGATATCCCACCAATGTTCTTTTTAATGTTCTTTGTATTTTGTGTTCATTTCATAAATACAACTCAATTTAATTTCTTAGGGCCCATCCTGTTAGGGGAAAACATTGTGACACATCAGCTTATACTGAGAAGGTGCCTCACTAGTTGTGTCTGTCATACTGTAGGAGACAAGCAATAGATCGACTGATGCGATTACAAAAATGTAATCAATATTCTTATCTTGAAGCTGTCTTGTTTTAATTCCCCTTGGTCCATATTTAAATTAATCTAAATATCAATTATCATTTAATTACACACTGCTGCTACAAGCATCAGATCCAAAACCTAATTTCTGGATAATCCTCTATTAAACTTTTTCAGCTGTTTTTTTAACTACTGATTCAAAGCAATCTGTCCTACTCTATTCTGAAGCACCATGGCAGAGTGCTATGCTTATTGAGCTCAGCCTTGAAGTTTTAATGGATTTATTAAGGTCAACTCACTTTTCATTATAACATTTATACCCAAACTTATGTTGCCTTAC